GCGGGAGAAAGGGTGGGGTGGCCGGCAGCTGCCAGTGGAGAGGCTGGAAAACTTGTTCTCAAGACAGCAAACAGCCCGGGCAACTGCTGCATGCACTTGATCTACTTGTTTCAATAGGAGGAACTATACATCTGCCACTATTGCCTCCTTTCCCGCTGAAGTGGGATCCATCCCGCTGTGGGGCAGCTGGGGCAGCACCTGGGAATGGTGTTTTATTTTGTTTTGCATTTGGAGCTGGCCAGGATGAAGCCCTTTGCCAGCAGCTGTAGGGCAGGGGGGTACAGCTGCTCTGCCTCAGACAGCAAAATCCACCAAGGTTCTGGGAGCTGTGTCGGGGTGCTTGTAGTAGCACTGGGCTTAAAAGAAAGTAGCCTCTTCATATAAAGCAATTAGCATTAATTGCTACCTAGCACCTCTTTGAGGGTTTTGTAAAGGACAGTTACAGCAGCTGTCTCGAAAGCTGCAAACTGGCCTTTTATTTTAGTTTAAAAAATAGTTTCTTCTAACACCATTTTTAGCGGGGGAAGAAACACAGCACTGAAAAACAGCTTTTCAAGTGCCACGTCTTAATTTAAATGCCCAGTCATCTCTCTAGCGTGTGGCTGAAATGCCGCGTTATTCAGCAAAAGGAAGGAACTGTAAGATCCTTCTGAATCATAAAACCTGGGATTTTTCAGCACCGATTTTTACCCTTTTCCCGAGTTGGACAAATGCGTTAGAGTCACAATCGCATCAGAGAACTAGCAGGCAGGAAAACGAACTTCTTATTTCTGTGTAGATCTGCTCCAGCGGCCGACGAGCTCTGGGCTGAACTTTGCCTCCCCGTGAGCTGGGACTTGGCGGCTGCCCAAACCTTGGCAGCTGCTTTAGGTTTCTGCAAATGCTGTCTGAACGAAAGCAAATTATTTCTTCCAATGGGCTGACAATAGCAGGCATCCTCATGGAGAAATCAGCTCTGTCAAGAGTGACAGACAGACCCTCTGTCTCTACTTCCCCACAGCTAAAAGCTCTGGCTATAAAGTTATCCAAATTCAAAGAAACAAGGGTATTGCTCTTCCAAACTCACCTCTTACTCAAATGTAATTTAAGCAGTAAATAATGCAGAGTTGAAACTGAAATATTAAACTCATCCTGCGTGGAAAGATTGGATCTGTCAGGGCGTGGGCGTTGAAATCTGATTTTTGTGGCATAGCCCAATTACAAAGGAATTCTTTCAGGGTCTCTGAACAAGCAGCCAGTTCTGCTCACTTATCGCTAGATCTAATTCCCTGATCCTGCTACAAAAAAACCCCACAGCAGCGTGTTCCTGCGTGCGGCGGCCAGGTTAGAGCACAAAGAGCTCCTCTGTCCTCTGACAAGCAAATCCTCGTGCGTGGGTCCATGTGTGTTGGAGGGGGTGTTTGTTTTGCTGCTCTCCTTTGCCCAGTTCTCCTCTCCCGAAGAATGGGCGGTGTGCACGAAGAAAACGCGTAATTGCTGCTGTCGGTGCATTTTGGAAGGTTAATGCTTTACATCCATAAGCAATTATGCCTTTTACAGGCTGCGCAGCCTCTCCCCGCAGGCAGCAAAGCTCTCTCGGCCGTGCACCCTGTGAACAAAACCGGCTTGGGAAGGTCTCGCTGTGGGGAACCCTGACAGCAGGTTGTTCATCAACCAGCTGCTACCACGTTCAGGTCCCTCCCCGGTGTCGGGGTACAGGCTGCAGCTGGGGTGTGTTGCCACAAGCAGAGGGGGACATCGGGGTGCTGCTGGCGACACCCCCAGGGTGACTGGAGACATGGAACATGGGTGCCAAGCGTGTGCCCCAGCACACCCCGTGTGTCCCGAGGGCACCCCGGTGGCAGAGGAAGCTCTTTGTCAGGAGGAGGCTCCCGGCAGAGCGAGGCTGTGACTAAACAGCAGCATTTCGTGTCAGCGTCTTCAGAGGTTGGAGAACCTTCCAGCGGAGACAGCGGTGGTGGGTGAGGTGGGGAGAAGAGGTCCTGGGCGTTGGAGCTGCACCCAGACAGGATTCAAGGCTGAGCTGGGCTCACAGCTTCTTCCTTCACTCGTGAACCACCTCATCCGCAGCTCCGAGATGAGCAGATAACGCGCGTCACGAGATGGCTGTGGATGGGTAGTACAGAGCTTACCCTGTTTCGTACTCCTTTGGGGAAAGCTTCGGTTCCAAGGATGCTTTAGAAGAGCCCAGCTGGCCTTTCTCCTGGAGAGAGCAGCCTAAGACGGAGCACGTTTACATCCATCCAGCAGCTTCACACCCCTCCCCACGTCTGAGCCCACGTGTGCCTTAACGCCTCTCCTTTCTTCCTCTTCAGCTTGGATATTGCCTCCCGTCTGGACGCCGCAGCAGCCTGTGATATGCCTAAGGAGGAGCTGGGGATGGCTGGCTGCAACTCCGGCAGGCGCGACAGCC